TACATGAATGACAATGTTTTACATACACACATTTACTTACATAAGTAGATATGGCATATATAAGCATATATAAAACTTTTCATTTATTAATAGTTCAAGTAACTACTATTTCTGTCAATCTGAAGTTGAAATTTTAATTATTTTCAAACGTTTCCAAATAAATAATTTTTTCGCCCTGGAAATATTTATTTTTGTACCAAAATGATCTATATTTATATATCTACTATATATATTGTTGTTGTAACGGTGAAAAAACTGAAATAATTGTCAATAACTCTACGGAGTTGAAAGACCTCGGTCGCATTAAATTCCGAGTTTACTCCGGTTTCGTAAACTAGACTTACGAGGGAACGAAAAATTTCTTCAACATGAAAAAATGTTAACTTCGGTTGCACCGAAGCTATAATAACCTTCACAAATACAAATAAATTCCTTACAAGTACTTTGTTTAGATACTATACTATATGCTATAGTGATCCGATCTGAACAATTTCTTCGGAGATTGCACCATGAACTTAGGCAATAATGCATGCCAAATTTCTTGATGATATTTCGTCAAATGAAAAAGTTTTCCATACAAGTACTTGATTCCGATCGTTCAATTTGTATGGCAGCTATATGAAATAGTGGTCCGATATCGGCCGTTCCGTGCATGAGCAGCTTTTTGGGGAGAAAAAGATGTGTGCAAAATTTTAGATTAGTTCGCGTATAAACAGACATACATACGGACTAAATAAACTCAGCTCCTCATGCTGATCATTTACATATATATATAATATTTTATAGGTTTTCTTCCTTCTGGGTGTTACAAACTTCGAGGCAAACTTAATATACCTACTATATCTGTATTTTGGCGTTTATCTTTTCTCAGTTTCGTTTGAAAGTATTTTTAAGAATAAACCATAAAAATATGATTAATCACCTTTGTTATGGGTGTACAGATGACTTGTGAACTCAGGGTTGCATCATCCACACAATTACTCAATTTAAGTTCTATTTGAGTTTTATTATCATCAGTATTTTATAAGAATGCAGTTATTTGTTTGTTCGATTTGTCGTACCCTATTGCCATTGTATTTTTCTGGTAATTTCATAACGTTAAAACCAAATATTAAGTTGGAAGGAAATTTAGTATATACTTGTATGTCAAGTAAATTACGAACCTACATATAAATACATACCAATATCACAGCTGAAAACACAGCTGAAACAGTTATAAATTTCAACCGTATCTCTGTACTATTGTAATTTGGAGGAATGCTGTGATGTTGACATTCTTTGGTCGCGTAAAAATTCGGCTCTGTTCCGGCAACGTAGACACGACTATCGTGAAAAGAGACATCAGTCTTTGAAGGCGGCTTAGAAAATCTTATTTGGTTAATTGATATGCACAACAAACATAGTAGAAGTAATTAGGAGTAGAGTTAATAAAGGGTGTTTTTTTGCAATGTGGTTTTCACGAAGAAATAAAACACACATGACTTAATGTTATGGCCAAGAATTTAGTTTTATTATAAGGATGAGGGTTTGTCATTATGTTTTAAAAATCAGATCGAGCAAGTAACCGCAGCGGCTGATTAGAATAAATGACAGTCGATAATCCTAAATTTTGACTAATTTTTTAGCGATTGTAGCCGTATGGCATTAATAATGCGCCGAATATTCTCTTCCAGGACTTCACTCGTCTCGGGCTTATCTGCGTAGGTAAGCCACTTCACATAGTCCCACGAAAAATAGTCTAGCGGTGATAAAACGCACGATCCAGGAGGCCAACACGCAGGCCTATGATGCGAGATAATGCGCTCACCAAAAGTTTCCTTCAATAAACTGAATGTTTCGTTGGCTGTATCGCATGTAGCGCCGTCTTGTTGGAACCAAAGGTCGTCCATATCAACATCCTCCAATTTGGGCTTGAAAAACTCATTAATCATGGCTCTACAGCGTTCCTCATTCATTGTAACATTATGGCCACCTTCATTTTTAAATAAATATGGACCAATCATTCCCTCTGCCCATAAAGCACAAGAATCAGTGACTTTTTAGGATGTAGCGGCGTCTCAACAATAGCTTTAGGATTATTATCACTCCAAATACGAAAATTTGGTTTAATTTTATATAATATATACATAAGGATAAGCAAAATTTAAAAGTGGAATGGAATACGAATTTATAGTTATATCTGCTAACACTGTATAGTTTATGGATAATGAAGATTTTGCTGTAAACGAATCTATAAAGTTTCCATGTACCGGCATGTGGATACTTAAACACCTTTATAATTCATACATACATATATACATACATACTACATTCTTACAACACACACACGTCTGGTCGTATGGCGTGCTTTTTTATAGTGATCACAAGTTTTTTATGTGACAAGCGTGTCTCCACAATCACGTTACGTTATTGAAACCGTATTAAGAATGGCTTAAGTCTGCATTTATTGACAAAATAACAAAACGATCGAGTTCAATAAAAATCATGAGATCATAAATTCAACGATTGCAAGAAAGCAACACAGCATGTTGCAACGTTAAAGTGTGGCTAGTGTGTGCTTATTATATATTTGTTGTTGTTTTTGTGCACTAGCCAAAACATATTAAAGCGAACAAGAAGTAGAATGCTGGTACAAGAAAAATTTTATAACATAATAATTTGATGAAATTGATGGCACTCATTAAATGGGAAATTGTCAACGTGTCAGTACAATATGTCATAATTACTTACATAGGTACATATGTATAGACGAATAAATGCACATACATATGTAGATGTATGGGTGTATAGTAGTAATACGAAAAGCATTCAACAGACAATAGAAATTTTCGAATCGTAAAAAATCAACTCTTTTTGGTATTTTATTATTTAACTACAAACGCTTTTTGTACCGCCTTTTTTATACCCTGTTCAAGGTGTATTAAGTTTGTCACGAAGTTCGTAACACTCAGGAGGGGAAACAGGAGAAATGTCGGCGATCCTATAAATTAAATATTAGGGTGGGTCAAAAAAACTAATATTATTCCGAAAAATATGTTCTTAAACACCTCTAAGAAAGGTTTTCCAAGCATGAGCTCTTAATTGTAATGGGAAGGTCCGACTAACTTTTTTCTATGTCTTTTTATTATCAAATAGAAATATAAAAATTCATATCTCGCTTCCAAATACTTGAAAACATATTTTTGTTTTATGGATTTAGTAGAAAATCGAATGCTCTTCTAAAAAGGTCTTTAATGATTTTTTCGTCAACCTAACCGTTTAAAAGATATTAAAGGTTGTAGTTTGACTATTTTAAGGCAAATTTGTTTTTTTTTTATGAACTTTAAAAATAAATCAAAAACATTTTAAGTTGCAAAACTTATAATATTGTAGGATATTTTCTGCTCTACAAAAATGGTCTGCATAATATTTCGATTAAGTTAAGCGGTTTCGAGATATTCATCGTCAAACCTCAATGCCTATCAAAGGTCAACATAAAAAAACCAAAAAAAAAAACAACAAAAAAAAAGGCAAAAACGCAGAAAAGAGATCATTTTTGTAGAGCAGTATATTTCATACAAGATGTTTTTTCATTGAGTTATAGTAATAGTCCAACTAGAGATATTTTTAAGTAGTTGGAAGCGAGATATGAATTTTTCTATCTGATAATAAGAAAAAAAAAAAGAAAACCGTTAAGCGGAGGACCTTCCTAAGAGCTCATACTTGGAGAGCCTTTCTTTAAGTTGAAGGGGAAAAAAATCGTTGTTTTAGGCACCTTAGTAAATATTCATATAACAGATCAACCGGACGAGCTGAGTCGATTTAGCCATGTCCAGCTGTCTGTCTGTCCATCTGTACATATGCAAACTATCCACACAATTTTTGAGATATCGATCTGAAAATTTGCACGCGTCTTTTTTTGCTCAAAGAGCTACTCATATATTAAAATCGCCGACATCAGATGACTATAGCACATTGCTGCCATACAAACTGATCGATCAAAATCAAGATAAATATCATTTAATACTCTTTTATGCTATAAGAAATGCATCTGTGAAGGGTGTTAGAGCTTATCGATGCAGCCAAAGTTAACGTGTTGTTTTTTTTGTCTACACATACATAGCTATTTATATAAGTATAACACAATTATACACATCTATTCATGTTGTTAATTAACATAAAAATAATCAAATACTGTGATTCTTAGGAGCCGAGGAAAAGTCGGCGCCAACACTTTAGTATTGAGCAGCCACCAATAAATGCATTTCATTGCAAGCTTATAAATTTTTATATGACCAATAAAAGTTACAGAAGACAGTTCATAATCGAATTCTAACGTTAATAGGAAAATTGGTGCCATTGGTGTTCGCATGCGCCCTACAACACCTACACACATAACTGCCTCGCAGCATCCTCACGCATACATAAGCGCACACAAACGCATTGGCATGAAGAAGTACGAAGTAATTATAGTTTTTGATGACATTTGGTTTATTCGCTCATAAAATTTAAAATTTTTATTAAAACGTACAATTTGCTTCTTTTGTTTGCTCATATTTAATCGATTGATTTTAACTTGCGAAGCGATTGCTGAACTCAATTCAATTTGCTATGCTTGCGAAAATTTTATTATATCCATTTTGTGTATGTAAGTATGTATAACTCGATTTATAGGAATGCGTGTCTTTCTATGTATGTGTGCCTAGCGTTGAGCTTTAGTTTTTAGTTGCAATCAAATTCGGCGCCATCCAATTTTATGTCGATAGAAATATTTATTTTTTAGGAGCAATCGTTTCCGTTTAATGTTTTCATTGGCGAAATTCATTTCAATTGCCGATTGGCGCCATTTTTATTTGGCATAAACATTTTTACTATCGCCATGAGAATGCATAAGTGTGACATTTATTAGCTTTTAAAAATATATGGTTTTCAGCATAATTACTGCGAGAATTGCGTTAGATACATGGATACATATGCAAAGAGGATATAGGTATATATTTAATTGCATCCATTTAAGGACCATCTGATAAGTTCTTAGCCTACAAAGAAGAACGAAAATTTTGGGAAAATACCGAGCGATGCTCCAATATGGAATACGCTAATATAATATATACCCCTAACCTCCTCATTCATCTCGTATTTCTGCTCGACTAGCAATTTTTTTTAAGTTTTTCCAGAAAAAGAAGGCGCATACAATGCGTAGCGTAAGTCGACGAGTTGGCTATGGCGACGGCGGAGGCGGAGGCGTGCATTTCGGCGTTGATCGGCATAGTAATTCGCCTTAGTAGAGTCCTGTGTCGCGTTTTGGCTTTATCGAGGTATTCAAGGCAGTCGATTAGATCGAGCTACATCTTATGTATGCCAGAAAACAGTGACCATCAGTTTTCCGGCGGATAAGACAGTTTTCGTCTTCTTCTGAGCAGGTTCATCGGGTGAAGACCATTATTTCTACTATTTCTTGGCGTTTGGCGTGTACCACAGATTCCAAGGTTTGCAGAAGTTCATGAAATGATGCAGAAAATCCTTCTAACTGCTCGTGTATTGCCTCAAAAGTATTATTACTTGTTGTCCAGTATCTACAAAAGCGGAAAGCGTCGCGTCTAGAGCTTTCTCATGCTCAATATTTCATGTAGGTTACTATGCAGACGATCTGTTGAGATTTATACAGTCGGCCAATTCGAGATTGTGAACTTTTGTCAGCTTACCTTCATGTTAGCCCAGCGCAACTGGGCACAGCCGAATAAAAATCGATAATAAATAAAAAGCGAACAAAGTCTAAGTACTTGTTATTTTTCTACAATTTTTTTAAATATTATATCAACCTACAATATTTTTGACCCACCTTCGTTTATAAAATTGAACTGTTCTGCTTATCAGTGCAACGCTTTTGCCAATTGAGTGCGAGTTAGAAGATATTTGAAGTATTTGAAGGCCGCCGGACGAATTTACCAAATATTCAATAACCGAGAAACCTTTACCTCAACCACCTTCAAAAGTCGCCAAATTAATGCCCAACAATAAATTGGATCCAATTGCTATTCTTTTGCTTTCAATAGCGCTACGATTTGTAATGCCACAATTGTATTGTTGCTGCTGTTTGCCACCGATAGCGGTGAATACACTCTCGCTGTTACTGAATACAAGTAAATCGCGAAATTGTCTTCAATTGTGTGCCGACATTTATGATGCTCATTAAGTCATTTGTCGCTGGCAAACTATCTGTTGTGATTGTTGTTAGTGCCGCTGTCAGCACGTTGATTTCGCAAACAACGAGGCATTCTTTATTGTGCGAAATATCTCAAGTATATATATATATTTTGTTGTTATTATTGTTGTTGTCACAATTGTATCTCTTCATTGTTGATTGCGCGATAGTCTTTTGTGTGCTCCCCACTAGCGCCGAGCAGCGAAGGATGAGGTCCGATGTGGATACGCAGCGCGGCGTTGCACGGCGTAGTGCACGTTCCACCAGTAGTTGTGTGGGTGGTAGGCCTTTACCATATGCGTGTAGTAGGTAATGAATCTACGGCAGTAATCTGGGCACTTGCTGTATATGTTTGTGTGTTTTTTGTATTTCTGTGTGTGTGTGTGTGTGTGAACGTTCTTCGCTGTCATGACCATTGAAATTGAAATTGTGCATTGTTTATTATTCTTTTCTTCGCAGTCAATTGTATTTGTTGTGGTTGTATTGTACTATATTGTATATAAATTGTGTGTACTATTCTTTTAGGCTGCTAAGCTTATTTTTTTGTTGTTGTTAGTTTAGCATTTGTACTTCGTTGATTTCCTCTTGTATCTGACACTTTTCTGCAACTCATTTGCTGATGAGCTGCTCTCCTTTTATTTCACATTTCTATTATTGTTTATCAAGAAATTGGGGTAACTTAAAGGACTTTATCCAAATTGTTTCTACTGTTAAGGAAACTCTTATTTTGTCAACTATATACACAATATTATTCTTCCAAAGTAATTAGGTTATAGGGGATGACAATTTGCTTAGTACTATTTGTATAAATAAAATTTTTAAGCGAAATTCATGTTAAAATAGTAAAGCGATCTATAAGAATTAAGTCGGCTTCAAACAGCTTTTTTGTGTTAATCCACTGCATGTACATATGTCTGTAGTAGTTTATATTTATGCAGCTAAGGACGATATGGGTGATAGGACATAGCGAAATCGTGGTAAAATGTTATGATGACATAAAGAGAGAAATGAATAAAATGGGAAAAGATCTTCTTTTTGCAGTTTACTACTGGATGACTAGGACCTAAAGTCTACAAGAGTGCTTAATTACGAATAGCTAAATTGAACAAGGTCTACTGAGCTATTCGCTCTCAGCACCCTTCCTTTTAAAGGTCAAATAGCATTCATTCTTTTATGCAGAATTTTATTTTAATATTGATAGCATAATTTGTATGGGAACTAAACGCCGTAGTAATCCGATCTGAATAATTTATTCTGAGATTATAGCGTTATCTTGAACAAAAATCCCTTCCAAATTTTATAAACGTATCTTGTAAAATAAAAGAGTTTTCCATACTAGAACTTAATTTTGATCGATCTGTTTGTATGGCAGCTATAAGCTACAGTGGTGCGATATCAGAAATTCCGACAAATGAGCAGTATCTTAGGGAGGAAAAGACATTTACAAATTTTCAGATGAATATCTTGAAAACTGTAGGATTAGTTGTATATACACTCAAGATCAAATTTGACCCGGACATGTTCTAGATTGGCATGACCTTTTCTTATATTTTGTGAAGTTTAATCTTTAAAGTTCAATTGGTGTGGTTTCTTAGAAAATAAATAAAGATAGTTCGAAGTCATAATATCAAAGCTACTTCCTCATTCCCTATTTGAAGTGTTGATTCCAGAGTCTTCGACAAATGAAAAAAATTTACGCCGTCTTCGAAGTGTTGTGGCACGTTTATGAGAAGATTTCGCGGGACGGACACACATTTGTGATTGCAAAATTATTTTCAGGGAACGACCATTATTACAAAGTATAATTTAAATTATATCTATATAGGTATACATATATAATTTAGTGGCTATCAGTTTTAAGCCTATGGTCCACAAAGCGGTATTCATACAAACGACTAAGGAGGCTATAAAAGAGCGAACATGAGAATTTTAAGCATTATTTATTTAACAACGCTTAATATTGATTTTTAATATTTCCCACACATACACACACACACCAAAAGTCTAAAAAACAACACTAGCGCAAAAAATTTTTATCAAATGAAAAATTAAATGCACCCAAAGGACACACCATTCATTTCATTATTCATAATGTTAAGGACGAATCACAGTGCTTATTTACATTCATTACAGATTTCATTTGCGAATGATAAATATGCGGTGCGTACGCCTCAAATCACTTGCAGCATTTGCAACACACACACACACACAAGCAAATGCACAAGCAACGCATACTTTAACTACTTTAGAAACAATTTAATAATGAAATTGAAATCTCGGCCGACGTTCGACGACCTGCGACCTGAGACCACCGTCACTCAACGCCGACCGCCTCCTTAAACAGACAGACAAACTTTACACACGTAATTCTGCAGTAAATCCACCGCCAACAACCACAACAATAACAATAGCAAAGTGGCGAACACTAAGGAAAATATATTTATTGGTATGTGTGAATTTATGTGTGAGTGTGTGTGTGTATGTGCGACGTTGGCTGCCTGATCCTGGGCGAGAGCTTGATGACGGCTGGGCGGATGCTAAAACGATTGAAGCACGTGTTGCAATGTCGTTTTGGCGCGCGGTGCACACTTCATAAATTTCCAACATACCAATGTGTATAACGGAACTGTAACAGAAACAGTTATTATTACAGTTAGTTATTATAGAAGTGCAATATTGTAGCTGCAAGGCAAAGTCGAAAAGTTCGCATCCGCTTCCGACACCCCATTCAAAGCGTATGCCACCCTTTGTTGTTTTCCTTGTTGTTGCACGTTGTTGAACACCCAAAGCACATTATTTACTTTTACTTTCAACTACTGCTGTTGTGGTTATTGTTGTTGCTGCAGCAGTTATTATTATGATTATGATTGTTTTGCCACTGTGGTTGTTGCTTTTCTTGCTGTAGCCGTAGCTGGTGTTGTCGGTGAAGTTTTTCCGAACTTTAACGGAAGCTAAACCCATCATCAACAATTGCTTGAAGATCTACGCAACGCCGCAATCGTCCGGAAGGATTCACTTTCATTGTTGTTGTTGTTTTTGGCTTTCTGTTTTTGCTGTGCTGATAAAGTCAAGAGGGTTGAACAGTGCAAGTGCCGTTGCGCCGCTGCGGAGGGTGTGAGTGTTGACTACAGCGAAAACATGATAGCTCCGGCGTGTGTGGTAGTAGAACGTCGAATGCCGTGAGTCCTTTGAACCAGTGAAGCGACAAACCGCAATGCGCAATAAAATTCACCCGGAAAGGGTCAATGCGTCGACAGAAATCAAAATCAAAAAATAATAATAATAATAAAATGAAAGGAAAGGAAAGGAAAGAATTGTTGCTTATGCATTTTTTTTCTGTTAAGCTAAGTAAACAGAGTCTGCAGCTACCGGTGGTCGCATATATGTTTGTATGTAGTTGTTGGTCGCCACACACGTTGTTGTAATCAAAATCTCGTGTGGCCGCCACGACAAGTTTATGATTTATTTAAGCATCTTAATTGACTTTTTCCTTAAACACGCGTCGTGTGTTTGTATGAAATTACTTAAGCGTGGGTTTTCATAAATGAATGTGTGTAATGATCTCGGTATTTATTTATATTTCTAGTTGTATACTTATAAGCGGATAACAATCGGCTGCGGCATGCAAAGAATACTTTTGAGTTAAAAGTTATAAGTCTGTAAATTGTTGCAGGCCATGAAAAACATATTGGAAAATATTTACACCTAATTAGGATTCGATTGATTTGGTTAATGAATCTTAACTGCACAATAACCCTCTTGCTCAATGCATGTTAAGAGATATTCTTCATATGGGATCACTCTTTTTTCTTATTGAATGGCTCTGTAACAATCTCTCTGCTCTTTGCTAAAGACAAACAAAACGAAAAACAAACTGCAATCGACTGCTTTTTCATTTGGTCTTTCTAGCGGAGAGGAGTTCACTCATCTGGTATTGAATAAAAGTTTAGAGCTGGAGTATAACAAATTAACGCCGTTTTACGACGCCTACCTCTCTTCATTTCATCTAATGTAATATTCGATTAACCAAAAGACCAGAATTTTTGTCAAAAGTCCTTCTTCATGGTTTCCAAATCTGACATTGATGGTTTTGTGTCTCTAACATCGAAGTTATATTACATACTTAAGAAGCTTAGTTGGATAGAAATTTCAGGTGAAGTGTCTTTGTACCATATTATAATACGAACTCTGGTGCGAATGCTTGAGTTACCCTAGCCTGCGCTAAACTAGGATTTTAAGGGGATATTCTAGTCAAGTATTAACAGAATCGATTTTGTTTTTATTTCAAAAGTTTAACTATTTAAGAATATATCGACAAGAGGATTTTTCAAAATATTTTCGGAGATATAGGTATACGCGAAGCTTTAAACGAATCTCGAAACTGTATTTTTCAAAACGATGCTCACGTTTTCTTAGGTTCTATTGGACCGATTTATTTGGCATTTTTAGAGAGTCTTCCTTACAGACTTGTCTAAGGCTATGAAACTATCCATATTCCCAAATTTAAATGTTTACTATATTTATAAAATTTGAAACAGTCAATAAAAGTGGTGCAAAAAGTGTTCTTTTTTTCAAACAGTCGCCGATTTGTGAAACAATATTTTCCAAGTTTTTCGTGGAACTAAAGATTGCGACATTATTCTAGGTTAATTGTTTTTTTATTTGGTTTCAGTTTGTTAGGGAATTGAAATCGTGTGTATTGTGACGCGTCAATTTTTTGATAACTCCTAATTTCATCGTTGATTAGTTCCTTGAATACTTGGAGCACCAGATATACATATAGCTTTTCCTCGACTGAATAATATAAAATTCTGATTATAAAAAATCGAAATTTTAACTTTATTAATTTTTTGATTTTTTCCTGTAATAAAACAAATGGATAGTAAAAATATGAATTGCTTTTTTGACCACAATTTCAGGTAATTTTTGATTTACCTGAAATTCACGCATCTAAACTAGAATACCCACTTTAGATACTGCTTAGCTTGTTAGCAAAGATCCTTCACGACTTGGTAGCACATCATAAGAACATTCATGGGAAAATGAAGCTGACGATGCATCTTTGTGAAACATTTACTTGCTTGATTAGATCAAAAAGCAACATCCAAAACAAGCCACTGGATCTACCCGAGCATTACGGGAATCGTCATCTTGAATGAAGCAAGAGAATACAACTCAATAAATTTTAATGGCATGAAATATAAAACTTGGATGCACGCAAATCTGGCAACCACAACATTGTAGATATAAACATTGTCATAGAGAACTAACTAGAACTAATTAATATACAGTTAAAAGGTCGAAAAAAGGGAATTTTCCATAAGTTTTTCTGAGAAAACTTTTAAATTTATTGATCCAAAAATTATACACACATATTATGGTATCTTTCAACTATGTTTTAAGAGTTAGTACTAGTAAAAAGTTTTATTTGGAAAAGAGCTACAGCCGATCTCCGGGAGCTCCTCTCAAAAAAGACGTTTGGCGGTGACCACTATATCTCTGAACTGGATCATCTGAAGTTAAAAACCAAAACAGATTTCATTAAACTAATGTTTAATCTAGTAATTAATCGAAGGAATGAGCAAAATAACTTTTTTGACAAAATGGCGGTTTCTCAAAAAAAAAAAAAACCGATTTTTCACCGAAATTTCAGCCTTAAATTGCTTATAAAAATAAAAATAATTATTAGAGAGAAAAAATCTTTGATTAATTACTAAAAACTATATTTAGGAAGCTCGTGCTAAAAATTTTTTTAGCTTTGAAAACACCATTCTGAGAAAAACGCGTTTAAAGTTTGGAATGCTTTACATGGGATAGAAAACGTCTTTTCAAATTTGCTTGTAACTTCGAAAATATTCACCGGAACGACATGAAATTAATTAAGAAAATAAAAAAAAAGTCGATAGAAAAAAATACTTTCAAGGCGTACTGCTAAATTATAAGTCTTGAAAGTAATACGGCAGTCATTCATAGTTCATAAAGCAATTATATTACAAATCAAAAGTAGTTTTAGACAAAACAGTTTAGCTTGTCTAAAAAAGGCAATAAATAACTAGATATAATTTTGCAGTAACAAACATAAATTCATCATAAATATGAAACAAGTAATATCAGTTTCTACAACTTTTTTACCAAATCA